CGGGACAAGAAACCACTCCTATATATACTTTATGGGGAAGGTTGTGTCTACGAAAGGTAATCTTGGCAATATGATGTTGGACACGATTGCCTCTGGGGGAATAGAGTAGCATTGTACTGATTCAGCATCATATTCAGTTAGGCAATCAAGCAAGTCGTATTCACAGTCTGTCCAGTCTTTTCCGTAGACAGGGCAATCAATTAAGGAGGGAAACAGTTCAGTTCAGTTAGATTTGCGAAGTCATGCTTCGCCCGGGCCTTTTCTCTGGAGTGGCCCGGCCTTTGTCAACTATTTCTAGTTAACTCATGTGTTTTCTTTGAACTGCATGCTTATCGTAGTGGCTGAATTGCGAGCAAGCGACCAGCTGCCACAGAGTAAGCATGTGGCAAACCCTTTTTACCAGCCCGGCAGCTGTGGTGGGTGGTCCCTGTCTTAATTAAAAATTATGTGTTCACAATTCTGCAAGTAATGTAACAGGGTGGCGTTAGACTCGCCGCAGTGTTTGCATAACCTGGCAGTCTCATCATCAATAATTTGCCAAGCGCATGGGTAACCTAGTCTTAGTCTGTGTAACATGACTTCGGTACCTCTTTTTGTATTTGGTGTGAAGCATCTGAGTACCACTTAGCAGCGGGCGAATTTGTAATATTTTCTCTATGTGCTCCCCGGAGGACCGAACAAGCTGCAGCTTAGTCCCCTTCGGCTAGGTTTAACGATCATGGAGGATGGGGGCATACCCCTGCCCTTTTCGGCTAGTTTATCAGCAAGCTTATTCCCTTGAATGTCAATGTGGCTTGGGACCCAGTTAAGGATAATTCTTCTAACCTGACTGAGACTTCTTTGGGCTATGGTTAGTACAGTTGTCAGGAGGTAGATGTTGTCTTGGGGCATGCTATGTAAACTGTCAATAGTTGCTCTAGAATCTGTGTGAATGACAACGTGTCCTGTCCTTAGGGACGCGTGTGTCAGGGTTTCCATGATCGCAACCGTTTCAACTTGGAGCGTTGAGGCATTGTCAGTGACCCTAATGGATGCTGTGGTATCCCTTGTTGCGAAGCCGACGTCTGCAGTGTGGTTTATGGGATCCACGGATCCGTCCGTGTAATATGTTATGCTACCCGGAGGAGTTATTCGATCAATGATCCTTTTGGCTTGTGCCTTAAGGCTAGGCATGGAATATTGATCTTTTCTCATTAGGTTTAGGATTGAGAATTCGATCATTTCGTTTCGTGGGAGTCCATGCCCTTGGCAAGTAGTGATTCTTTTAGCTGAAAGCGTATCAATACTCTGGCTGTGTGTGTGAGCCAAGAGTTGTCCGCAAAAACTGATAGTCTTGTAGGCGTCTGAGAACACTTTGCCTTGAGTTTCTGGGTGCCTGCAAGACCTAGGAGAAAAACTGTGCTGCCATTAGATCGATTCGGGTGTCCAGAGGAGCGATAATTCAGC